CCCCAACAAACCTCCCACCTCCCAATACGGGAGGTGGTATGGGGCCCGTTGGGTTCGTTTGCGATGCAGAATCTTGCGCTTGACACCAGACGCGCCGCCTCACGACGTCCAAGCTGTATGGCGCCTCCCTCTTGATTAGTCGTCGCCACGTGAAGAATCGACACAAGGCTACCGGGCAGCCTCCAATTCTTGCATTTCTTTTGGTCTCAAGAGCCGAGTGCGAGACAGCCTCGCATTCCCTCACGCCTGCATCCACACTGACCCACCGCGTTCGGCATCGGTGTTGATGTTGACTCGGTCTTGCCCGCCTTCATCTCGCCGAGCCCCCCTCGGCGCGTAGCTATCGTTGAGTTGCTCGGTGCTGCGAGTGATCCTGCCGTCGTCGTTGAGGAGCTCCGAGGCCCCAACGTTGGGATTCCGCGGGGCGCGCACGCCATGTCAGATGAATGCCATAGGCTCAGGACGTTGTTGGATTTCTGTATAACACTGGCGACGGCCGCCATTGTGTCCGGGTGTTCATTGTGATATTGGGTGTCCAGATCACAGTTCCTCTCAAGCCTCAGCCCGCCATGGCATCAACCACCAGTGAAGGGGAGAGCGGCTCCCCTCCCCCAAAACCGCCTCAGAACGAAAACAAACCTCCTGAACCGCCAACCGAAGAATCCCACGGAGGCGTCCTCACCGACACCAGCAGCACCACCGGCGGTGGTGAGAAACACATCGGCCCCCCGCAACACGTCGGCCCCCCGCAACACATGGGCCCCCCTCAACACATCGAGGCCCAACCCATCCCCAAACTCCGCCTCATCGCCATCATAGTCGGGTAGGTAAACCATCATCTCATCCTCACCCACCTCACCCCTCTCACCTCTCCCCCATCCCCATCCCCATCCCCACCCCAGCCCGGACCCAACTCTAACTGACTCGCCATCCACACAGCGTCGCCCTCGGCCTCTTCCTCTCGATGCTCGACTCGTCCATCGTCGCGACGTCCCTCTTCACCATCGCCGTCGAGTTCGGCGACGTCGGCGCCATCAACTGGGTCGCGCTGGCCTACACGCTGACCTTTCTCAGCTGCGCCGTGCTCTTCGCGCGCGTCTCCGACGTCGTGGGCCGCCGCGCCGCCTTCGTCGCCGCCTACGTCGTCTTCGTCGCCTTCTCCCTCGCGTGCGGGTTCGCGCGGGGCATGGGCCAGCTGATTGGGTTTCGGGCGCTGCAGGGGTTGGGGGGCAGTGGTGAGTTTTTGCTCCTTTTTTTTATTTACTTCTTGAGAGAGATGGGGAAGGGGGTAGGGTGGGGGGTGAAGAGGGTTGGTTGGGGCTCGACACTGACGTGATGTGTGTGTGTGTGTGATAGGGTTGTATAGTGTCTCGATGATTATCCTGCCAGAGGTGACGCCGGATCATGCGAAGAAGGTATGTTGAATCCGTGTTTGTGCCACGTTCTGGCTGTCTCAGGAATCATTGTGATTCCAGAGCAGCCCCTTCACTCCTGAGCCGCCCTTCAGTCAACCGTCCAGAACATGAACGGCTGACCTTGTTGGATAGTATATCGCCGCCGTGGTGGGGCTGGTGCTGGCGTCGGCAGGTGTGTTGGGCCCGGTGGTGGGGGGTCTGCTGACACAGTACACGAGCTGGAGATGGGTATTTTGGATCAAGTTTGTGTTCCGCCCCTATCTTTGTTTACACCAAGGGGGGACAGCTGTGCTAACACCGTTCACAGCGGCCCCATTGGCGGCGTCTCCATTCTCATCTTCCTCCTCGCTTGGCCAGACAAAAAGTACCTCCCCTCGCTTGAACGCCGCCTCTGGAAAGACGTCGACTTTTTCGGCGCCTTCCTCTTGTACGCCCCCTCTTTCCCCCCCCTCAGCAAGCATCTTGAATCTGACCCTCATGACAAGAATCGCATCCGCCGTGCTCATCGTCTTCCCCTTCCAAAACGCGTCCAAGTCCCCCAACTGGGCCTCCGCCATCTTCATCGCCCCGCTCCTCGCCGGCCTCGCCTGCCTCGCGGCCCTCTTCGCCTGGCAGCTCTACGCGGAGCGCCGCCACCCGCGCCTCGCCTCGGCGCTGCCCCTCGTCCTGCTCCGCAACCGGCCCTACGCCGCCACCGTCCTGCACACCATGCTCACGGGCTTCCCCTACCTCCTCTCCATCTACGCGTTCCCCGTGCGGTTCCAGGTCGTCTACGGCAAGTCGGCGCGCGACGCCGGGCTGATGCTGCTGCCCATGCTGGCCGCGTCGGCGGTGGGGACCGTGGCGGCGGGCGCGTTCAACGGGGGAAGGGCAAGGTTAGGTTCTTGGAGAGCCTGTTGGGCGCGTGCGCGTTGATGATGTTGGGGTGTGGACTGGAGATCACGGCGGGGAGCGGAGGGGCGGTGGAGGCAAAGGTGTTGGGTTTCTGGTGTTTGTTGGGCTGGGGTTTGGGCTGTCGGCGGCGACAGGCACGATGCTGGCGGGGTGGAGGCGCCGGTATTTGAGCATGGTAAGCTTGAGATCTTTTGTTGTTTGTGTGGGAGGGCGATGGTGTGCTGACGATGTGGGACAGCTTCTGGACAGGGCATCGTGGCCCAAGTCCGCATCTTTGGCGGGAGCATCGGCATTGCGGCGTCGTCGGCCATCCTGGGCTCCAAGACGCGCAACCTGGCGGCGGGGGCGTGCCGCCTGAGGCGCTGGCTCACCTGGCGTCGGACCCGTCGGCCCTGTCGCCGGAGCAGTGGGGTCTGATCAGGGAGGTGTACACCGACGCGCTGAGGGAGGACATGATTGTGTGCTGCGCGGTGCTGGCGGCCGCCATGCTGGTGACGCTTGGGGTGTATCGCAAGAACAGGGTGTCGATGGAGGAGATGATCAAGATGCGGCATCGCGAGGAGGGCGAGAGACGGAGAGCGTCGGCGATCATGATAATGGAGGAGGCACGGCGTGCGCTGGCGGCTCCCGCCAAATGATTGGATAATTTTTAGACTCTGGGAGGTTGAGCCCTGGATACCTTACATTTGCATGCCGGGTCTGTTTACAAACGGCGTTTCTGGATAGAGATATAGACTGCATTGTTCGGCTAGGGTCGGGTGTTTTCCCCCCGGCGTTGAAGAGAGGCGAAAAGCTTGGGAGGAATGGATTAGTCTCAGTATAATCACAAAAACATCTCGCTCTTCCGCCCTGTAATCCTACCTCCCTCGGTCAAAACAATGTTCATATCTCCAACACCAGCTCCTTCCGTCCTGTCTGCTGCGGTAGTGGAGATGGAAGGAGCTTACACAGTAATGAGTTAGGTAGCGACCCAGTGCGGGGTTAGTTCTTATCGCCGGCGCGATGGAGACGGTGCGGGGTGTTTTCCGGGGCCGGCCCGGCAACGGCATTGAATCGCACCAGCAGTGTGGACCGCCACGAGAATGGCGTCAGCGCCGATGCCGCGGGGGTCACTCGCGGTTGCATCTGCCCCCTTTTATTACTCCTCCCGCTCCGCTCCCGGACCTCGAACCGATCCCCTGCCATGTTCGCCCGAACAACAGCATTTACAGCCAAATTGTCGAGCACCATCCGCGCCCTCGCCCCATTTCGGTCCCGACCCCACTCGCACCCTCTCTCCAGCTTCCTCAGAAACAACATGTCCACCGCCATGGCCAAGCGCCTCGAGGGCAAGACGGTCCTCATCACGGGCGCCTCGTCGGGCATCGGCCGGAGCTGCGCCTTTGAGTTTGCCCGCACTGCCCCGAAGGACCTGAAGCTGGTGCTGACCGCCCGTCGGGTCGACCGGCTGGAGGAGATTGCTGCCGAGATCAAGAAGGAGGTCGGCGAGGGCGTCAAGGTGCTGCCCGTCGCGCTGGATGTGGCCGACCCGGCGCAGGTCAAGGGGTTCGTCGCGGGGCTGCCGGAGGAGTTTCGGGGGGTCGATGTGCTGGTCAACAACGCGTGAGTTTTTTTTTCCGGTACCTTGTTTGTGTTGTGAGATGAGTTGAGTTACTGACGCATGTTCAGGGGTTGGTGAAAGGAGGTATGAGATGTCATTCCTTGCTTGTCAAGAACAGCTGGTGAGCTGGGGGAGTGCGAGGGAATGCTAAAGCCGACAGTCGCCCGCGCCCCTGAAATCGCCGAGGAGGACATCAACATCATGTTCCAGACCAACGTCACTGGCCTGATCAACATGACCCAGGCCATCCTGCCCATCTTCAAGACCCGTCCCGACGGCGGCGCTGGCGACATCATTAACGTCGGCAGCATCGCCGGCCGCGAGCCCTACGCCGGCGGCAGCATCTACTGCGCCACCAAGGCTGCTGTGCGCGCCTTTACGGATGCTCTCCGCAAGGAGCTGATTGCCACGCGGATCCGTGTCATGGAGATTGACCCGGGGCAGGTCGAGACGGTGGGTTGAGGCAGTGTGCGAAAGCGACAAACTCATCAGCAGCTGATCTTGCGGCAGGAATTCTCGGTTGTCCGGTTCTACGGCGACAAGTCCAAGGCTGACGCCGTCTACGCGTAAGTAATGCACTGTTGTCCGAAAGGCAACGGCGGCTGACATTGAGCTGCAGTGGCTGCGACCCTTTGACGCCGGACGACATTGCCGAGGTTGTAGTGTTCGTCGCAGGGAGGCGGCAGAATGTGGTGGTTGCCGACACTCTGATCTTCCCAAGCCATCAGGTAAGTTTTGAGCTGTTACGACGAGCGTGTCTGTCTGCTCTCCACGATGCATGCTGACGACTCTGCAGGCGGGTGCTGGTGTGCTGCACAAGAGGTCAGAATAGGGGTCGATCCAGGGTCAACAATCTGGCCGAGATCTGGGCATGCATGGCAGCCATAGTATTGAAAGCTGTCTATAGATTATGTAGATAATTAGACTATCCACTCAGCGTCCTCATGTCTTTTTGTATGTCTGCTGTGTTTTTGTGGTCAAGGGGGTTGTGATGAACGATATCCGTAGGCTGCGTAACCCTAACCCGGGAATGTGACTTTTCGCCCATAAGGAGCTACTTTTGAACGGTGCACTAACACACCACAAGACAAGGTTGTGTAGTGTAGTGGTTATCACTTTGGATTTTGACGACGTTTCTCTGTCTTTCCAATAACCCCGGTTCGAACCCGGGCACGACCTCAATCTTTTATTTCCTGTGCCAACTCAGTTTCTTTCTTTTTAGACCTTTTTACACATGGTCTTTCAAGATTACACATCTTTTACGGATCTGCAGAACCCGAGACGTAATCAAAGTTTCAGTCCATCTTCCGGCAACGCCCATCTTCACATGCTGCAACAACTTTCGATTTCGAGTCATTCAACGTTTTGTCTCGCATCACCAGTTCCCCAAACCACCGTCCCAAGACCGTCCAGCCGTGGCAGTGCGCAGTGCTGCTGACTGCCAAGTCGATGCCATCTTGCCACCCCTTTGTCTTGTGGACGGGGACATTGAGGCGATGCGTCTCGGCGTCTCCCCATTTGGGCATGTTTACTCGGTCTGGAGTGTTTCAAGACAGCACGGATGGGGTCAGGTAGGCCGGGCAACTGAGTCGACATACTGTATCACAGGACACAGCGAGGCGCATTGGCCTATCGAGTCCACCTGGGTTGTACCTCGGAGAGTCCCGTTCACCCACAAGACAGCAAAGGTGCACAAGCATCGGATTGCAGCTCCATCGCTGACCATGACGTCAATCCCATGAAGCTCTCAGCTCATTGCCGCTTGGCATCCGTTGGCATCCATGCGATCGGGGGTCGCTTGGGCGGTTGACGCCTGAATCGCGGCTGTGCTGCCATTTGCTACGGGTGCGTAGGCTCCTAGGAGAGGCTCACGGGAGAGCTGCGGGTCGATATTGACTGCCGTGTTTGACGCTTGGCTTGTTGCTGGGACCGACAAAGTGTCCTCGCATAACCCCAGCGACACATCTCCTGATGGAGGTAGGCCAAACTGAGAGCACACCATTGAGTGCATATTCGACGCAAGAACGGGTTCCACGGGTTCCAAAGCTGCAGCCACGATCTCGCAACGCCGCGTGCCATGACGACGCAAAGACGTTATGGTTGTGTTGGCTCAGTTGATTTGAAGCTCACCCCCATAGGCCTGATACAGATAACATACCTGGGAAAGCTAGGTAAGCTAGGCTTTAACACAGCGGGGGAGGAAAGAGGCGGAGAGAAGAGGCGAGACGGAGGAGGGGCGAACTGCCCACATGCCTAGACCTCCCGAGACAGCATCCCTTGTTCAATCTGGAGGACTACACTGTGACTGCTATCTTACGATGTGATATAAAAATACCCCGCCAGCCTTCTGCTGGATGACCGAGTCCAGACCACATCGCGCTCAGACTCCTTCCTGACGTCTTACCGACCTGACACTATCCACCGCGACTCTGACCTCCTCACTTCTCTTCTCTCCACGACAACCAACGACTATTTGACGCCATAAACCATCACATTCCTCAACCCAATCTTCGGCAAAGCTATTCAGGGCTCGAACTACTCGTAATGGCCGGTAAGGTGTTTCCCGTCCCGGTCCCCTGACAGTTCGCCCGTTCCCTCCCTTTAGACCCAGTGAACCCTTGTGTATGTTTCAACTCCCGTCGACGAGCTAACACCACATCAGACACCAGAAGAAAAGAAAGCATCGCCAGCATGACTCCCGGCAGCCCAATCACCCAGCAATACTCGGCGCCGGGGCTATCTCAATCGCCGCCCACCGGTCTCGCCACTCTCACCCCCGTTGAGCCGCGGGCCGTCGCATCATCCGCCGGCCCAATGAGCCCGCTCTCTCCTGTATCGCCAACCATGACGCGCGCCGACCAGGACGAGGACCGCCGGCTCAGCGACGAGTGGGGTATGTTTCCCCCAAACTTCTCTTCCCAATTAGCATGCCCCCTCCCTACCTCACCTCCTCCCCCCTGACACCACAGTCCCATCACATCCCCTCCTCACCCCACCATACCTCAACGCCATACCACCCTTCCCGTTCCTCCCCCCCCTCCCTCTTAGCAACCGCAACCGCAACCGCAACCGCAATCGCAACCTCACCACCTTGATCGAGATCTAACAGAAAACAACAAAACACAGACGCCTCCAAGGTCCCCCCCTCGCGCTTCCAAAAGCGCAAGGGCTCCATCTACGCCGTGCCCGGCTCGCGCGACGGCCGCACCGACAACAACCGCGAGACCGCGGCGCGCTTCTGGAAGAAGCTGGCCGAGATGGACCAGGCGGGCCGGGGATATTTCCTCAAGAAGGAGAAGTTTCAGGAGTAGTTACTATATTTTGTTGATTGTTTAATATCTTTTTAGCTTTTTCTTTTGGTTTTTCTTTGGGTGACCTCTTTTGAGTGAGACGGGTTGAGGATAGGGGAGGATGGATGCATGGATGCATGAATGGTTTGACGTCTCTTTGTGTGTTTATGTAGTTTGTATGTTATGTAGGGTTGGAAAAGGGCGGGGGGGGGGGGGAAAGGGTGGATGATACTGTAGTGTAGTCTGGCAAATCCCAAGTTGGATGTTGTATTGTGCGATGCTCGGCCGAGAAAGGGTTGGCGAAGCTGAGGTGAACTCGACTGTGCGAGTGAGTAGCAATGAGCTCAGGAACTGGGAGGCAGATGGTTGGGCGAGATGCGGAAGGGCTGCAGAACAACAAGACTGCTTCGTACCTGGTAGGGCAGTTTGGGGAGAGCACTTGAATCCTCTGATTGTTCGTTCGTTTCCGTCCCCAACCTAAAAATTGATGAGTACTCGATATCTACGTATCCTACCCCTTGCGCCGTCCGCCCCTAGAGATGACCGATCTTGTGTTGGTCGTCGCCCCCCGAAGAACATCCACCGCCCCCCTTTATCTAGATACAAAAGTCATGTCATTCATCCATTTCGTCAAGATCGATGGCGTCGGGGTTGGCGACCTCGACCGGTTGGCTCGACACATTCCCCTTGAGCCCCTCGGAGGCGGCCACGAAGCCGGCCGGCGCGCGAGCCTGCCTCTCCAGCTGCTCCATGGCGTCCACGACCTCCTGATCCACCTCCTCGCCGTCGTCCAGCTGCCTCTGCTGCTGGCTCCTGGCGAGCGCCTGCGAGGCGATAAAGTTGACGTCCGTGTTGTACTGCGCCTGGACGCTGCGCTTGATGCGCAGCATCTCCTTGAACGTGTCTTCGTTGCCGTGCTGCACTTCGAACTGCTCCCACTTGGTCCAGAAGTCGGGGTTGGTCCGCGGATCACAGAACTGCGACGCGTGCCCGTAGATGGCCCTCGCTCGGTCGATTTCGCCCAGCCTCTTCTCCATGTCGGCGAACTTGAGGCACATGTCGCGGGCTTCGTGGTCGGGAAGCGTCGCAATGGCGCGCTCGTAAATGGGGCGCGTCGAAGGCAGGCCAAAGTTGGACGCAGACTTGGTGATGTAAAAGTTGAACATGTCGGCTCGGTCCTCGTCCGACACGGCGCGCGTGGCTCGCTCATAGATTCGCATGGCGTGCCGCGCCAGGCCCCGCTCCTCTTCGAGGTTGCCGTACATCAGGTAGATGACCTTGGCAAACTTTGGCGGGCAGTCGAGGACCGCCTGCTCAAATAGATCGCGCAGGCGCTCTATGCCAATCTTGCGGTCGACCGCCTTGGTGAGGTAGAGGTTCCATAGCTCAAAGGCGACGGGGTAGCTGAAGAGGTCGAGACCGCGCTCGTAGATCTTGAACGACTCCTCAAAATACTTGTGTTCCTCGAGCAAGTTGGCGTAGTTGACCACGGTCTGAGGTGTCGCAATGCGGAGCTCGAATATCCTTTCGTAGACCTTCTTGGTCTCTTCCAGCGAGCTCACGCTCTCGACGAGGTCGACGTAAAAGCTCCACAGTTTCCAGCTCTTGTGCACTCGTTGTTGTGGTGACAGAGTCTCGTCGAAGTAGTCGACCGTTGACCTCTTGGGCGCCTGCACGGCCTTGGCCATGATCCTGACAGCCTCGTCAAAGTTCTCGTTCCGCAGCTCCATCTCGGCCCATTCAATCCACATGTCGGCAAGCTCGGCCACCGACTTGAACGGGACCTTGACCGCCTTCTCCATGATGATCCGAGCATTCCGCAAATCTCCCCCATTCTCGTAAAACTTGGCGTAGTTGGCCCATAGTTGGTGGAATGCACCCACGGCCTTCTTGGGCTGGATGGCCGCAATGGCATCCGTGTAGGTCTGCACCACTTCCTGCTTGTTCTCGCCCCAGAGTGCGACCCGTTTCTCCCACTCGGTGACGCTGTTTGGGTTTTGCCTCAGCAGGACGTCGTTCAGGAGGAAAGGGCGACGGTCCATCAGATGCTCGAAGCGCATCATGCGGATGTCGAGATCAAAGTCGGCGACCTCATCCACCACTCCCTTCTCGGCCCGTGCCGAGGCGACCTCCATCAAGGCGCCAATGATGGATTCCTCAAATTCCGTGTACGAGTCAAACACAAGCGTAAAATCTCGCACTGTCATGACCGTAGTGATGCCCTCCTCAAACACGTCCCTCGCCCGCTCGAAATTCCCCCGCCGAATCCAGTACGTCGCCAGGCCGCACCACAGCTTGCCCCTCTGGTCGCTGAATCGATCGATGCCGCTCCGGATGATACGTTCCACGTCGATGCTCGTCTCGTGGCCCGTCTCGATGTCGACCGCGTGCTCGACCAGCAGATCGACCATTTCGCCCCAGAGCTCATAGTGCCCCTTGGCGTTCTTGCTCTGGAAGCGAGGGTTGTTCAGAATGTCCATGGACTTGTTCACGGCCTCGGTGTACAGGCCGGTGTGGACCAGCAGCTCGATAAAATCCTCGGCGTCTTCGGGGTGGACCTGCATGTACCGCCGCCAGATCTTGACGGCCGTCATGCCTTCGGCTGAGTTTGCAAACGGCCGGTAGAGGGCCCATATCCTATTGTGCTGGGTAATCGGGAGCGCTCGGAGCGCACGGTCGAAGGCGTGGCGGGTGAGGGTCACGAGGGGCTGTTGCATCAGGAACTTGAGGTACATCTCCCATATCCTGGGCATCTTGTTGAGGAGGATCAAGGCCCGCTCAAAAAGGGCGTTCACTTTCTGGTACTCGGCGGCGAAGATGGCGGCGTTGAGCTTGGCGACGTGTTTCATCCTGAAGCGGAGATACTGTCGATAGTTAGAGACGGCTCCT